GACTTGTCTTTGCTCTGACCTTGAGGGGAGCCAGGGTGCTGAGAGAGCAGACAAATCATTCTTATTCCTGATGGTTTTAAATGACCAACTGTACAATGGCAAATTCCTATATGTGGATCTTAGGAAACACAATTTCATTTATGAGACACCTTCCAACGAGGCTTTTCTGTGTGCCCAGATTTCTTAAAGGACTCGTTGCTAATCCTATAATGTGAGATAAAGTGCAGACTCTCCCTCCTTTCTGATGTGAAACTTTGAAATGATCTTCCTGTGACTTGTTGGCATGTTGACCTTTTTCCAGACGGCTTGGCCAGCTGGCGGGGGTCCAAGGGAGACGTGGATAGTGAGGTGTGGTGGGGAGGGAGAGGCAAGTCCCAGAGCTGGCTCGGCAGGCCGCTCCTGTGGAGGCCTACAGATTCCAGCAGCGCGTGTGAGTGCAGGCTCGCACCCCTCCCCGGGGCCGGCCGGGGGAACGAGGACTCGGGAGGCGGCTCGTGAGGGGCACAGCTGCCCCCCCCTCAGCGCGCGATCCTGCTCCGGGCTTAGCCCCACACCTGCCCTGCCCTCCTGCGGTCTTTGTAACTGAGGTGATTGACAGGAAGCCAGGGGACAAGGTGAAGCTGCGGGCCCCGAGCGGGAGAGAACGAAGACAGGTACGAAGGCGGGCGGAAGGTCAACGAGGCACAACGTGAAGGACGGCCACAGACCTCCGGGCGCAAAGCACACAGCACTGTGCCTGGAACAGGCGGGTGCTAAGGGTGTCGGTGTGGGGCGGCGGCCGCAGGCTCTCGTGACATTCAGAGCCAGCAGCCGGTGTCACCCCGGGTTGGATCCCGACAGCCCCGCTGGCCTCGGCCGGTGGAGGCTGGAGGCAGGAGGTGTGGATGGCTCGGTGCAGCCCAGCCCCAGGCCTGGGAAAACTCGTCCATGGCGCCGCGGCCCTCGCTAACATTGTGCACAGGGCGACAGGACGACCCAGGGCAGTCAGAACCTCGTTGGGGCCGGCGGTAATAAGTCAAACATGTCTCACTGGTAAAAAGCCTGCACGAAAATGTGACCGCTTCACTTCAAAGCTCCACCAATGAGAGATCCTAACCACCCGATTTAGGTTCTCGTTTGCCGACTGGAGCTTACACAGGGAAAGGGCCGCAGCCATGCTGGCGGACGGCCGGGGCGCAGCGCCCAGGAGCAGTGGCGTGGCGGCTGACGGACGCCGGAGCCAGTGGGTCCACCTATTCAACACTTCCGACAAGTGTTCACAGGTGACAACCAGACCTGAGGCGAGGCGCTGGCCAGGGCGGCTCACAGCGGGGGAGGACGAGGGCAGCTGTCACGGCTCAGGTGGTCATGCGGACAGAGCCCTGTGGCCTGGGGAGCTTCGGGGAGATGAATGTGAGAGGGACGCTGGCTGGGGTCTGAGCAGCACAGCTGTGACGGGGAAGTGACTTCCGTGGACCAAGCTGCGTGTCTTCCTCGTCTTCTGAACCTGAGAATGTGCATCCCGAGGAACAACAAAACTGTAGAGAACTAGTCAAACAGGTGCCAAAACACCAAAATCCAGCATCCAAGAAACAGAAAGGGAAATGAAACCCACGTGTCTTGAGGGGCCACGGTTTTGTCTTCAAAATCACGTCTGGGCTGGCCACAGCCGGGCCCCCGACGCCCCCATGCTCCCCAGCCCACCTGGCCCCAGCACACGGGGGCTTCTATAAATGCCTGGGTGAGAAACTCCTCGGGTGTCAATCTTATGAAGAAAATCCACAGAGCACCCACCAAGTTCAGGTGTCAGGATTGGATAGATTTCATGCATCTGTCTCTGCCTAGTTTGGCCACATTCAGGGATCAATAAGAAAACCCTCCTGCGTTGGGGCGCCTGGGTGGCTCAGTCAGTTAAGCATCTGCCCTCAGCTCAGGTCATGATCCCAGGGTCCTGGGATTGAGCCCCGTATCAGGCTCCTGCTCAGCGGAGAGCCTGCTTCTCCCTCTCCCTCTGCCTGCCGCCCTGCCTACTTGTGATCTCTCTCTCGGTCAAATAAGATTTTATTTATTTATTTGAGAGAGATAGAATGAAAGATAGAGAGCATGAGAGGGAAGAGGGTCAGAGGGAGAAGCAGACTCCCTGCCGAGCAGGGAGCCCGATGCGGGACTCGATCCTGGGACTCCAGGATCATGACCTGAGCCGAAGGCAGTCGCTTAACCGACTGAGCCACCCAGGTGCCCATAAATGAATAAAATCTTAAAAAAAAAAAAAAAAAGAAATCCCTCGTGTGGCTAATTTATTGCTTATCAGCCCACCTCCTGTTCAAAAGCAGGCCTGATGATAGATTAGTGGGGAGTGGGCCAGAACCTTATTGCATAGTATGTACTGAAGCAGAATTTTAATATCTTTATTAATCTTTTACAATATAATGATTTTCGGAGATCCCAACTTTGCCAGCTACATTATTACAAAGAAAGCAGAAACTCAGAAAGTCAGTTGTTAGCAAAGGTCTATTTTAACACATGAAATATAAAGGTTTATTTATTTTTTAAAATTATTTTATCTTAGAGAGAGGGGGAGAGAGAATCTCATGCAGGCTCCACGCTCAACGCAGAACCCAAAGTGGGGCTCGATCCCACGACCCTGAGATCCTGACCTGAGCTGCCCAGGCGTCCCAGGCAAGGCAGGTCTAGATTCCTTTTGGCTCCCTTCCCTCATCGCTGTACCAGTGTGAAGGGAATGCCTGTAGCAAGGGCGGGACTGGGCCAGGGCACCAAGTGACGAGCATCCAGGGTCAGTCTTTGACCTCCAGAAACTCTTCAGCTGAGGTTGGAGGGGACTCAAAACCAGCCGAGTCCCTGCGCTCAGCCTCGCCCGTGCAGCTAACCGAGGGGACAAGAAGGAATCTGTGAACAGCGAGCCTCGCCCATAACCAAACAGGATGACAGATTCCTCGCCCGCCAACCCACCAACGGTCCCGGAAGCACCGCGCTCCCAGACTTACTGTCAAACCCGGACTTGGACAGTTTGGCGTGGGTGTCACTGTGCTGGAGACACATGGACTCCTCTTGGGCAGGATTTCGAGTCTCTGTGGTGAGGGAAACGTCTGCTAGTGGTCACTTTTCCTGGGCTCTATTTGCAGGCAGACCCCTATCTAGGATGGGGAGAAGCGGCCCTTCACCCCCAGGCAGAGCACAGCTCTCCTGGGAGGGTGGAACCAGGCCCAGGCAGATGCCCCACATGCTAGAGTTGGGGGGGGAGTGTCAATGTCTACTGCCAGTCACTTCCCACTGGAAGGAAAAATACACTAGAGTACTGTCTCCCCAAGAGTAGTTAATAAACATTTAGTCAAGTTTGAAGAGCTATAAAATATTTTCCCATTCCAAATTCTAACATCCCACACAAAGCCCCCTCCACCCCTTTAAAGAAAATCTCATAAACACAGTAATTGGTTTTGAACCTTTAATAAAAGTAAAAAATGAATGCAAAAAGAACACAGTGCTGAAAACTTAGTATGAATGTGAATCTCACTACGTGTTTGTATCTGGTATAGTGCAAATTTTGTTCATAATATTTTACATTTTTACAAACGCAAATCACTTTGGTTCATATACTTGCTATAAAGTATTGGCAAAAAAATTCTTCAGATTCACATTTTTTGGCTACATTATTTCTAACATATAGATTTACTTCCAGTTTCAGAGAAAATACTTACTGTTTGTACATGATCAAGTATATTTTAAAGATTCAATTACTTCTTTCACCTAGTAACTTCTGGTTTTTCATAAAATGCTGACCTTTTCCTTGAAAAATCTTTCCACGCAGCTAATCATCCATCTTCACTTTCAGAAAACGCGTAGGGGGTCAGTGCGAAGTTCGGAATGATCCCGTTTTCTTTTACACAAAATTCCTCTAAAACAGATCAGCTACACAGTCACCTACAATTTACTCCAAGGTATTTTTCTCAGAACAAAACCAAATAACCGCAACAAGATCATCACGCGATTGGAACCGAGCAGCCACAGCCACCAGGCCTTCCGACCCCCGTCCTGCCCATTGCCCGTTTCTAGTCAAAAGGAGTCTCGTAATGAAGTCACTTTCACAGAATTTAAAACAAAAACATTTAAATTGCAAAGTACAAAAAGGTAAATTTGTAAGTAAAAATGACAAGTCTACTAAACCCACACAACTGGAGTATTTCAAAGGACCTGGGCTCAGTGGAGGGCACAACAGAGTAACTTCATAACTGAAAGAAATTATTGCTGAATTCTGCCTCCATGCAGCACTGAAATGAATGGAGAACCCTCTTTAACCTCTCACACATTAAAAAAAAATAAATATTTAAGAGAATACAAGGCTCAGATTGGTTTTCATATACATTGCACTTGACGTTTGAGACCCAATCCTTGCAAAGTGGGTCTTGGATGGTCTATGCCATTCAGTGAATACATTGTGCTCACCAATATCTTTGAGTATTTAGAGACACCCAATGTTCAATGTGGCGGCGTGTGCACGCATCGTTTACAAGGCAATCACAGATTGCAGATTCCATAGGGCTGTGGGAGAATCGCCACGTCTGTTCTGGAGGATGGAGGAAACCACACAGGACTCTGGCTCACTAGGACTGAGATACACGGCAGACGGGACTCCCTCAGAGGATTATGGATTTTGGATGAAACTTCTCAAGTATCGAGGTGAGAATTCCAGAATATCACAGTGTGGGCCTACGGCCTTCACTGCCCTCCGTGCTCAGTAAGATTGTCTGCACAAAACTCCGCGGGAGGAAGGAGAGCATGGCTGTGCGCTGTGGTACACCTGCGTGAGGCACGTAAGCGTAAAGCATCTCAGCACTGCGGCCGCACAAGAGCGGCCTCCCTGCACTCACCGCCACTTCTTTTTTTACACAACCCTATTTTTAAAAGATCTTTTGGATAAATATTATTCCTATTTTTCCACACTTCACCTTTGTTAAGCACCATCAAGCTATCCCTCGTGGGCACCAACACAAAACCAACAGCTGGTAATTAGGCTTTAGTTCAAGGCTTTGAAATATGGCAACTTGCTTTTAATAACATAAATGAGATTGAATACTCGGGAAGCTGTGCCCGCCAGCACTCCTGCGCCCGCCTGGGGTCGCGTCTCCAGAGCGGACACGGGCATGGACGCAGCAAGCAAGGTACCATTTCGAGAGAAGCAGTTCTTCTCCACTTGCTATTCTAAGACAGGTGAGTTATTTTTCCGAGAGTCACTGGTACAGTCAGCCCAATCTACATGGATCACTGAGGAAAAGAGATAATCTTTGTCACAATTCAATGTTACAGACTTTCTTCCCAAATCTTGGCTCTTCTCCAGTGGGTCAGAAGACTCAGTCGCTATGTGGCTTTTCAGGAACCCCCTACGTGGGAAGAGAGCGAGAACGTTAGCCCCGCGCACGTGTGCAGAGGAATTCCTCTGACAGAGGGGCCGGTGCGGACAGGAAGTTTGGGAGCCACGGGCACGGAGACAGCCCCCCCCCCGTGATGACCTCACCGCCCACGGGCTGGAGACAGCCCCCCCCGTGATGACCTCACCGCCCACGGGCACGGAGACAGCCCCCCCTGTGATGACCTCACCGCCCACGGGCACGGAGACAGCCCCCCCCATGATGACCTCACCGCCCACGGGCACGGAGACAGCCCCCCCCCGTGATGACCTCACCGCCCATGGGCACAGAGACAGCCCACGCCCGTGATGACCTCACTGCCCTCGGCTGGGAGCCACAAAGCTGCTGTGCGAGTGTAGACAGGGCTAAACCCGCCCCTGAAGGGAGGGCGCAGGGGTGCGGGCAGTGGCACGGGGAGGCTCGTGCACTGCGGTCTAGAAAGCACACTCTTCTGGGCACCATCAGTCTGCTCCTGAGGACCCTTACGGACAGCAGGCAGTCTGCTGAGACAGGCCTGGCTCGGGATGCCGAGGGACGCCTGTGCCCCGCGCTTCCTGGTCTGAGCCTCACAACAACGCCTGCAGGTGTCGGCGTGTCCCCGCTCTCGGGTGCCGCCTGCTCTCCGGGTGCTGCCCGGCGATTCCCAGCGCAGGGCTGAGGTCTCACTGAGGGAGGAGCAACTCCAACGACCAGGGGCCTCTGTTAAGGTCACAAGACCACTGAAGGGCACGGGAGGACCTCCGGTGAATGTTTTCTGCCCGGAGTCCGTGTGGCCCACTGGCCTCCCCCACCTAGGCACCTGTCCTGTAGGACATCGGGCGAACGCCACCAGTCAGCGAAAGAAGCCCGAGACCGTCCCGCGTCTGATGTGGGGGAAGCGCTGTAAGGGGGCCGCCAGGAGTTTTCGGGCACTAATTCCTACCCAGGGAAACGCAGATGTAAGATCTGGTCATCTGAAAGCATGATGAGCTGCTGGCTACAAACATGAGAAAGGCCCTAAACAAAGATCGCCTAGAGAAACCCGGGGGCAGACCTACCACACGTGGGATGCAGAGAACGCAGGTCTGCCACCCATGGTGTGCGGGAGACTACAGTCAGGTCTGGTGTTAGTGTAGGGACACAAGTGACCACCGACAAGAGCTATCGCTCAGCCTGGGTCGGATGCAACACCGGGTGCGCTGCTTGAGAGCAGCGCGTCCAGGGGCAGGAGGGGACCCCCGCAACGCCAGGGCACCTGCACAGACGCCGGCACGGTCCCCGGGGAGGGCTGCCTGCCGCCACGTGCCAGCAGGACGGGTGTCACACCCGGGCGGGCTGGCCTTGCATTCCCTACCTCTGCACACGCTCGGGCGAGCGGCTGACCTTCCTGGCCGCCTTCCCCCTGTCTTCACAACGGGCGACAGCAGGTCCTACTTCAAACTGCTACCGCGACGACTGCACAAGCCAATGCGGCCCTCAGAAAGGACACCAGCGTCACTACAGTTCTTGGCGGCCGAGGAGCAGCCCTCACCAACGAGAAAGAAGTCAGTTCTCCGCTGCCAGGAATCCTGCAGCCTGGGCCACCAGAAGCAAAGCCACATGTCCCCTGCCCTGGGGCAGCTTGACGCCTTAACGTTTTAAGACTTGAAGCTACCAACAGCAATAAATAGGAATTCCATACAATCATGCTACAGGCTCATCATTTTCTCTTAAATGTCAGGCAGACAAATGACTACCACATGGAAGAAGTTACTTGAACCACTGAATGGAGCCCACGTGCAGCTTTGGGACGTGGCGATCCTTACAAGTAATGACATTTCTTCCTAAGGGAGAGAGCCCGGGTCCGGACGGAGAAGGCATTCCAGGAGACCGCAGCGGAGTGAGGGGCCAGCGCTCCGGTTGGCGCCGGCTCCACCACCTTCCTCTCCTTCGTGGAGCTGCAGCCGTCACACAGCCTTACACTGGGGGAAGGTGCTGATCCTGAACTGAGAGTCCTTCTTAAACTCTGCCCCTAAAGTACCGAGGTCCTGCAGACAGCCGAGTGCAAGGCCTCTGCGGAAGGCAGGCTGGAAGAGGAAGCTGACTGCTGCAGAGCGCGGCCTGAGGACAGCCAGGCGGGCCAGCCCCACTCCTGACACTGAGCAGCTTTCCTGGGATTTAAGCATGAAAATTAGTTTTCGAATTCTGAGCAGTGTAAGCCTGTTTTGAAAGCTGGGACTTTTTTCCCTTTCTTTGAAGAAAGAAAACAATTGAGGAGGGAGGCTTAAGTAGTCACACTCTCCCTAAAAAACCTCTTTAACTCATCCTCTTTAAAGATAGTTGTCTCCTTGATGAGGAAGGTTCCAGAAGGGCCGACTTTATGTCACAAAAGCATTGCTCAGGTTGACAACTCTGGGACCCCAAGTCACACACCTGCACAACAGCGTACGCTCTCCCAGTCTGTCAGGGTGTGCGGCCTCGGTGCTGCCCGGGGGCTCACTCCCCGTCCCTGCAGGGCTGCTTGCAGCACTGGGCTGGGCCTCGGGCACCTGCAACCCCTCCAGCACTCCAGCCCCTCGTGGCCCTCCGCTGGTGCTGCCTCGGGGGAGCAGCCCCCGGAAGAGCAGGCCCTGTGAAAACCCAGGCAGGCAGGACACCTTTATCAGGAACGTGTATTTCACTCTTGGGAGCTGACGTAGTCTGAGATTAACTTCCTACGCTCCCGATTCTATCGGCAGGCTTCCCGCACTGTTGGCCGCCGCCGCAGCAGGCAGTCTGTCCACCGCGGACAGGGCACCCAGGGCAGCACCCTCGTTCCACAGGGACGGAGGATTCGCTCAGAGGGAGCAGGCGTCTAGCTTCAACCGCGAATGCGCTGGATGTGCCGGGGGCAGGGGAAAAGACCGCTGCTTCCACGAGATTCGCGTACAGATACGTCCGGGGATGGAAGCCAAGACAGACAAAAAGCCAGGACCAGCTGGACAGACTCTGGGGCCGTGGGGGGAGGGAGGGCGGCAACGGCAATCTAACGCCAGGGTCGTGCTCAGGAAGGTGGCATCGCTCAGAAGCAAAGTTGGGGTCTCAGCTGCGGTGGCAGCAGGATCGAGGCCGTCTGTGGGGACCTCCGCGGGAGTGGGCCCTGTGAGCGTGCAGCGAGCCTTCCCTGCCCCCTCATCCACACCCTCCACTGGCTCCAAGATCCTACACGTCACCTGCGTTTCTGATTATAAGAGTAATGTTTTCACTGTAACTTTTTTAATGAGGACTAGAAAAATCTAACGAACTCTAAAAACCATGCACAGTTCTACTTCCCAAAAGTAGCTGCTTCTAACCCGGTCCAGAGCCCATCTCCCATCCCCCCACTCACAAGGCTGATCTCCTCACCAGAGAGGTGAGTGCTGCCCGCCAAGTCAGACAGACCCATGCTGTGGAACAGGGCTTAAACCTGGCTCCCTACTCTCAGACGTCCGTAACGCCCCGAAGCAATGAAGCCAGAAGCCGTGCTCCACCACGGAGCTTCCTCCAGCACGAACACAGCTGCACAAGTGAGGACAGTCTCACACATGTTCACTTGTCCCGGGCTCTCCACCCAGAGAATGGGTGCCTTGCCGTCTCCTCCCCTGGAGTGGCCACTCGCCGTCAGCAGCTCCCGTCCTGGGCGACAGGATGGCAGGCAGTGCCCCTGCTCCAGGGGAAGGAAGCCCCCACTTCTGACCCTGCTAACTTTCTCTGCAGCTGGGGCCCAGGGGGAAGGATCTGCACACTCATGGATGGAAACAATGGCACATGGGGTGGGTGCAGAGACTTGAGAAGTCCGCTCATTCTCATGACCTGGGAGGGAAGGCAATTATCGCGCCCCTCATTTCAAGGTACAGTAAGAACATCCTTACGTAAGTCCCCCTAAAAGGGAAGAGCAAGCTTCAGTAAGGAGAATTAGAGCCCTGCAGTTAGCTTGTTTTAAAATCTTTAACATTCATCGGTTAAATTTTCACTTAATTTTAAAATTTCCACCATAACAACTGAAGAGGCACAGCGAGGACCATTCACTAACACAATCTTCAAGTGGTATTTTCAAAGGTACAATTTGCATGACTTTTAAAAAAAGTTTCCTCCAACCATTTCTAGATGCTTACAACTCGTGCCCATGGGAAGTTGCTGCCTCTACCGACGAAATGCTTACTTCCTGAACCTGGGTCAAACCTTCTCCGTGAATACACAACAGCATCAGCCCAGCAGCCTGAAATAACAACCTTCAACTTGTTGAAGGTCATTCAAATTGTTCATTTAATGGAGTTACCCTGGCTGACGACAGATTTATCCCGAAAGCCATATTAGGAGTTCTCTACTGAAGCTGCTGAAATAGAAGCCTCACAGCAACAAGCACTGGTGGATGGACAGTGGATGGATGGTGGACAGATGGTGTACCTGCCCAGTTCAACTCGGACAACCAGTCAGTGGGCTGGGCAGGAGGGAGCCAGCACACGGGTGTCCCATGCAAGTCAATATAAGCGAGCCAAATCCTCTGACCCTCATCGAGGCTGCAAGAAACCTTATTTTCATCAAGTTCCCTTCTGGGCACTGGCTCCTTGGAACTTGTAAGGGGTGGAGGGAGGGATGAGGAACTCCGGAACCAGTGGGATGTGCTACACATTCTATCTTTCAGAACTTAGTTCTAACTCTGTGAACCAGCCACGCAGCCTTCAAATTCAACTCCCACAAGTATCAGCAGGCACAAATAGACGTCCTGTTCTATAAACAGCCTGAGGGACCAAGACAAGTTTTCTGAGAATGCCCCAGGGTTGATCTCTGAGGGCAGTGGCCCTCTTAAGACTCTGCAGTTCTCTTCGGTTCATTTCACTGAAGCCCTAGAGTCAAAGTCAACTCGAAAGAACAGTTAAATGTCCACATTTAATTTTCTCTTACTAAAGTGTTGAAATGTGAATGTTTACTACTGAACAGAACTGCCAAAATGATCCCGGACTTCGCCTTTCTGGCTCTCAGGAAACAGCTCCGCGCCCCTGGGAGTCCGTCTTCCCCGCGTCGCCGAGCCAGGCCCGCCAGGCCCACCGGTCCTGGGAAGGACAGGGCTTGCCTACCCAGGCCTGGACCTGGGCGCAGGGTCTCCGCGGCGTCTGCTACCCTGGCATCACCTGCCCCTGCGTGAGGGAGGGCGGGGGCCTTGTTATCAGCCATTAGCCCTTTCAGTGACCGCACTCTGCCAGTTACTAGAGTAGTTGAGAGCTCAGAAAAGCCACTGAACGCATCCGTTACATGCGGGGTTGCCCACAATTCTGCTTGCTTTCCAGCGCATCATGCGTTTACAAATCCCCTGAATCTTTATAATTTAGCAAAGTCCTTGAGTTGATATCGCTACTTATTTTTTTAAACGTACGCTCTTCTCAGTAATCGTTTCTGAGTCTCAACTAGACACGGACCAGCACACGTTACAGTGACTTGCGTAAAGCCAGCCTAGGAGGCCAGCTCCTGCAGCGCCGGGGGCAGACCGCGTCACCACGTACCATAGCCAGCTGCCGCCCTATGTTGCCCACGGTGACACCTCCTGAGAAGAAGATACACGGCAGCCAGGAGCGGATGTAGAGAAAATCCGGGGATGTGTACCTGCAGAGAGAGCAGAGGGACTTGTGCCCGAGCCGTCAGCTTCCCTGAGCTCAGCTGGCCTCCGGGGTGAGACCCCCTTCAGCGGGGAGACACAGGTTACCCGGCTACCACAACGGGCCATGGGATGGTCACATCTGAATGCTGTGCCCCGACAGCAAGTTACAGATGCTACGCCGTTCACGTGCAAATCAACAATAAGCAGCATTTTTGAGACTTTCCTGCCCAAACCGGCCTCATGTATGTATAAATAAAACATGACATCCAGCTGAGTGGGTGTTTTTAACAAAAGTGAAGTAACAGCTTCTGGACGCAGTCGCTATTTGAGAGTACATACTTACTGATAGACACCATTGTACACCAGCAGCTGAGTGATCAGAGTGGCCAGGAAGGCGATGGTGATCCCAAGCCCGAGGCCACTTCTCGAACGGTCAAATGTCCACCAAAGGCCCAAAGACAGGGCTGCTAATGTCAAGGAGAGCTGGACATTATTGGCAAAATCCAATTTCTGGTGATGCAAGGTTAAGGAAAAGTCCAGTGATTTTTAAGATGATTAAAACAAGCCAAAGAAAAAAACCCAACCAACCAAGCAAAACAAAACACCCCAGATCCTACACGTGTGTTTTCATTATTATGCACCACATAACTCTCCATCCAAAAAACATGCCCAGGCTGCTGCAGAAAGGATTTGCTGGGCACAAGGTTGCCATGATCAGGACGCCTCTGGATCACATGCTTGGATACTTCATCTACAAGGAGATGTTCCCAAAGCTGTAGCTGCTAGCATTTAGACCACAAAACAACGTATTTTGCTAAGTCCTCTATAGTCCCAGTCCTATATTTCGTTTTGATTAGTAACCTGAACTGAGCAAACACACTCCTCTCCCCATGTCTCCTCAGACACGTCATCAGGTGTCATTCTACGTTACACACTTCCACAATCTGTAGGGACACAGCTGCTTTTCATCACAACACTACTGATCAGCTGTTGAAAAAAACCAATGTTGTCAGAGCTAAGGTATAATATCCTCTCTTGACACTCGAATCATTAAAATACAGATAGAGCAGATTTAAGAAACAGTAACTCTAAAAATACCTTCCCCTAAGATTTTGAAATAGACTCTAGTTGTGCTAAAGAAACCCAAAGTCTTGAGACCTGGGAAAGTATGGCCTGTCTTCCTGACAAACACACTAACGTACACACACGTAACATAGTCTGCGCAATGCATTTCACCCGAGGACTCGGGAAGTCTAGGGACCTTCTGTTAAGAATCCTACTGCAGAGGACACCACCTTTGCCTGGCCCTGAAACTTGGTGGTCGCAGCCAGGGAGGCGGCAGAGAAGCAGAGACCGGTTTCTCTTCAACCTCTAGAAGAAGTGGCCCAAGAACAGGGACCCCCAGACACTTCTCCTTGGGCCAGACACCAGGTCTTCACAACAGAAGGATGTAAGGTGGGCATATGAGAGGGAATTTACAAAACCCACTCCAAAGAACCAGAAGATACTATCACACAACAGAGAAAGTCCTCTCTGCTTCTGGTATTATTTTTAAGTTTCCCGAACCACTTTGAAAACGCTTGCTAAGTAGAAATCAAGCAACGTGCTTTAAAATAAAAGAGTTGGAAGACCATTCAGCGAACCTATGAGATAATATACACTCATTAAAAGGAACAAATGTTTCAGCAGGTACGCTGAGGAAATGCTCTGGACCCAGCACATCCACCGAAGGATACAGCACTGGCGTGGTTGATGCCAACAAACACAGCCACGCAGCGCATCACACTGGCCCACTCCCGCTTAAACTTGTGCGGCTCCCCGAGGTGACTGTCGATGCAGGGGTACAGCAAGCCCACAACAGCTGGTAAAACAGCACAGTATTAGGGTCCGCCAGCTTGCAAGCAGAGAACTTCTACGTGGCAATTATTAACATGTTATTCAAATCAATTCTTTTCCTAGAAAAATATATGTGCTATATAATACAGCATTTTAATTAAGACTAATTTTATATTTTTGTTTCCCTGAGTACAAACAAAAGGATGACATTGTTTTGAGAAATCTAAAATAAAATTGCTGTTCTTCAGTTTAATTAGGCACAGACCTGAATCAGGCAGGGGGTTAATTATCCATATAACGCTATGACAAGTCAGCTATGCTGAGCCTCCCCTGAGTCCAGGTCCTGACCTGTGGGAATAGCTTGGGACCAGGTTCAGAAAACCAGGGCCCTGTTCCCTGTGGGCTCCGATGGGGCCTGGATCCTCATGTTTGTTCCCTCATGTGTAAAATGACGAGGGTTATGTAACTAGAAGGCGGAGTAGGAAGAGCTTACTGTGGTCTCGAAGAGTTAGGGAATTTTCACAGGCATAGAATTTTAAAGCATGAGGACAAAGAATTTAGATGGGGGGAGGGTGTGGCATTCCAGGACAGAAGTAAAATGGACAAAGTGAAGGCAGGAACAGGGTGCTTGGTGGCTGGTGGGGATCCAGGCCCCTGGGACCGACTGTGGGACGCAAGGCTCAGCACCTAAAGTCATCCAAGTGCAGAGGCTTGAAAGCCACGGGGCAGTTCCACCTGGTGTCCATGAAAGAGGTAACTATTTCAGGTTCCTGAACAGAGAAACAAGAGACGCAGTTCTGGCAAAACATTCAATGGGAGAGTTTCAGTTTCAATTTCGTATTACATTTTATCAAGTTCTAATTTTAGAGTTTTGAAAACTGGAACCCAAACAATTCTAGAACTTATTTTCCTATAACTTAATCTTACCTTTTAAGGTTAAAGGCTAAAGAGATACAAATGTACTGTGGGATTTTGCCCTATGCTTACCTGATAATTTTTTTTTAAAAAAAGGAGGTATGAGAAACTATGTTTCAGATAATCCTAGAATCCCTTGAAGCTGCAATTGCAAATAAAGCCTAGCCTAAAATATTTCATTTTTAAGATCAGATTTTTGATTCAAAGAAAGAACTACTGTACCATATGGGCATGAAACATGGGATCTGCATCTAGGTAAGTTTCCCAAAAAGGATTTTTAATAGGATAGCCATATGCTTAAAGGGCTTAGGGAGGCCAAGTAGTATCCTATCTTCCTAAGAACAGAGATGACAGCAGTCTACCCACCAAGTAACTACAGTATCCCCCCAGTGATGTGTCCTGGCTAGAAGGCCCCACTCCCAGCCCTGGGCCATCCAGCTGTGCTCAGTGGGTCTGCTGCCAATGGGATGTGTCTCCACAGTGCAAGGGACACACCCAGACTCCAGGGAGGCAGTTTGAGCATGATGCACAGCGGCTCTGCCATTTATTGTGTCCCCCTAGACAGGGATGCTTAAGATCTCTGTGACTTAGTTTCCACATCTGTGAAATGGAGCCACAGCAGAGTGCTGTTGTAAGGAGAGAACAAAGCAAAGCACATCAAACACAAAGCAAGCAGTCCATAAACGCTGGCTACACAGCCAACAGCACGGCACCCCTGCCCAGACCAGGTCCCACTTGGAGACCGAGCTCTGCCCAGCAGAGCGTGGCATGCTGAGTGCAAGGGCCGGACTGCCCTCTCTGTACTCCCACAGCTGGTGCAGTGGCGGCCGCAGCAAACACCTGACACAGCGTGCTCATCAATGAACGCTGGTCGACCACAGAAGCGCTCAGTCGTCTCCCCAGCTGAGACCAACCATGCATTGTCATAAAGGCAGCCAGGGAGCAGAACAAGTCCAAGAAGTCAGCGCGCCCGTCCACAGGGACTCCGGCCGGCGGCACCCCGCGGCACCCGGGTGGCGGACTGGGCGTCCCCTCCGCGCGCCGCCCCCGCCCGGCCGGCCCACGTGACGGTTTGTTTTCGGTGGCCGGCGGGTAGCGTGTTCGAGCGCCCGGCCAATGGCAGCGAAGCCGCGCCGCTCACCAGTTCTCCGGCCGCCAATCCCGGGCCCGCTCGGCCAGGGGACCGCGGCGGGCTCCACGCGCGGCCCCCGGGCCAGGTCGGCGGGAGACCGGCCCGGCGACCCCGCGATACCCCGTGCCCGCCATCCCCCCCCCGAGCGGCCCCCTTCGTTGCACTCACCGGCCGCCGTCCCGCAGCACGGTGGGACCCACCAGGCCGACGAGAAGATGGTGGCGATGACCTCCTCGGGGAACAGGGTGACGTTCCGCTGCACCTGCAGCAGGTTGAGCACCAGGGCCAGCACGACCCCCACCGAGAACAGCACCAGGCTTCGCTGCACCAGGTGGTGGTGCCAGCTGCCGGGGGGGCCGCCGCCGGCGCCGCGACCCCCCGCCCCGGGGCTGCGAGGCCCGCGGGCGGGCGCGGAGTCCGGGTCTGGGCCGCGGCGGGCCGCCAGCGTGGCGGGGCTGAGCATGTCTCCCACTTTGGCCGCCAGCCCTCCGGCCCCGGCTCCAGGGAGGCCTCGGTGCCTGGCGCCCTGGGCACAGGAACAGCTCCAGCAGTGGTCGTCCAGCCTGGGCATCGGTCACCGGAGGCGGGCCGGCGCTCCTGCAGGGAGAGGGGGCGGGGGACGGAGCCCCGTCAAGTTCGCTGGCGAGGGGCGCGCGGGTCCGGGGCAGCCGTCGGACGGATGGCGATGCCCACTCATCGCGGCTCGACCGGGAAAGCCCGGGCCCCTGGGGCGCCTGCAGACTGCGCGACCCGCGCCGCAGGTCCCGCGGGGAGGGCCCACCTGAGCGCGCACGGGCTGGGGGCGGCGGCGGCGGCGGCGGCCAGGTGTCCGGCGCGCCCGCGCGCTGCCCCGCACCGGAGCGGGCCCACGAGTGCCCTCTGCACGCACCTCTAGTGCTGGCTCGTCCAGTCCCAAAGTTTCCCACACCTCGTCCGCGCGCGGCGCAAGTTACCAGAGGCCCAGGACTGAGGGGGCCGCTAAGCCGGCCCACCGGGGTCAGGGGTGCAGCCCCGCCCCGGGGCCGGGCTGGGGTCCGTCCCGCTCCCGGGAGGGGGTGGGAGCGCCCCGACCTCCCCACCCACGCCCCCGCCCAGAGGCTCCCGACCCGAGCTCGGCCCCAGTCCGCGCCCACCTCAGAGCCCCCAACACGCCCCGCGTACCTGTCCGAGGGGCGCCCGCGCGGGCTCACGGAAGAACGAGGTCAAGGCCCGGACCGCCCGGAGTTGGGCCCGTGGCGCGGGGCGCGCGGCGCAGCTTATAAGGCGGGCGGCTGGGCCCCGATCACGTGATCCTACCCGGCCCGCCGCTTGGGGGCGTGGCCTCCGCGCGCCCCGCCCCGCCCGCGCGCCCGTCCGCTCGCGGTCTGGTGAGGCGGCTGCGGCCAATCCGGGACGGGCGGCCCATATGACGTCAGCACACGCCACCACCGCCTCGCGCCCGGCGCTGGCTCGGGAGCGCGGACGGCCGGCGGGCGGACGGCCGGAGGGGCTGCGGGGACCGGCCGGGCGGGCCTGGGAGGGAAGAGCGGGGCTGGCGGGAGCGGGTGGGTGGCGTGTCTCGGTCGGACGACGTGGGCTCCAGGTCCTCGCCCGGACGTGGCGCACGGATGAGCCTCCCCTGCCAACCTGGCCCCCTCCACCGGGCGGTCAACAGGTGATCGCGCTGCACCCGCCGCGTCACCTGACGGTGCCCCGACCTCTAGTCTGTGACCCGCTTCCGCGGCGCCTGATGGTCACCACACCTGCTCATTTACCGCCGGTTGATTGATGCCTGGCACGTAGCGAGGGCGCGGAGGTCGGAGCTGTTTGGGGGGGGGATGTTTCCCAGCGGTACATAGGGGTCCAGAAACCTTTGACAGGATCTTTTATGAAAATGCAAATGATGCAAGTTTCATTCATACAATAATTTCTTCCACTTTCACATTGTCTTTCCTTACATACGGAAAGCAAACCGTCCCAACTACTCAAGAAAAACAGAAAATATAAACCCTTACTAAACTTTACTCTCAAAAAGTTGATTATCTCGCTGATGTGTAATGTGTATTTATATCCTGTTTGCCACGTGTGTCACACCATATGCCCCATGCTAATCAAAAACCCACATCTCGTTGAGCAAAATCGTATTATTTAAGATGTTCCTCAACAGCAGCGGAGAAAGAGTCTGTGGTCTTCTGTACTGTCTGCAGATGAGCAGAGATTGAGAGCAAATCCCCTGGTGGCCAAGAGACCCCATGGGCTGAGGGAGTGTGAAATTCCATTGTGTGTGGCATCTTCAATATCAGGGTTTGTGGCTCTATGCCAGAAGCTTTTAAAAAAACAGAAACATCCTCTTGAGATATTCATATTTCTCAAAGTTCCTTTTTTTGGTTGGGGTGGGGGAGGGAGGATTCACATGATTTTTTTAATGATAAAACAGGGAACTTCAAGGAAAAGTAATGCTTACAGTGGCTGTGTTCACACTCCAGGATTTAAGGGGTGTTTCATTAGGAAAGTTTTGAGAAGGACTGCGGAAAGACATTTGCCATTCATTAGCTTGTTACTGTTGTCCCAGCGTCAGTGGTGGGTTTCCTGCCGCTGCTAACTTACAGGGCAGACACAGCCTGGTTACGGTGTAGACACCCTACACCCAGTCCATCATGCCAAAACTGGTGTGAACTTGACATAATCTTTCCTACTTCTATGAGAGCATACGTTTTTAACAAGTGTCGTCATCACGCATTTTGACAAAATTGTTTTCAAATCCTCATGCATAACCAAAACGTAGCATTTGCTAATAATGTAACTTGTTTTCATTTCTTGAACACAACCCAAAGTGGGGGTGGATGGAATGGAAGGGTTCCATCTTCACCTCTCTCTGTGGGAAGGGCAGAAGCAGGCTTTCACACTCTCTCTGTATATTCCGCTCTAAGCCCTGGTCACCACTATCAACTTATGTGCCACCTAGGCACCCCTTATGAAAATATTTTATGGGTTCCTGGATTGTCTGTCTCCTGTGTGGAAAGGGACTCCATCGCATGAGCTTATTGGTGTGTTAGGGTCTGTTCATGTGGCTACTTTTCTCCCCACCAGAGCTGCTGGCCACACAGCCCAGCCTCTGACTCTGCATTCCCTCACATCTGTACTGGGACTTTGTGAATCAGGGGCCTCCTGGAGCCACCCCGAGGCCCAGTGGACCTGTGGGAAGGTGGGAGGGCTGCCTGCAGGCTGCGTTCTGTTGGGTTCCTGCTGAGGGCTGTCGGTGTGGCCTTAATATTGACAGGGTCTGTCACTGCACCCCGCAGGGTTGTGGTTTGCCCCAGTGCCGGTAGAGTCTGGTCCCACAAATGAAGTTAGTCTAGGGGAATGGCAGTGGAGGAACGTGAATGTACAGTCTTGCAAACTACAGGCTTGGTTTCGGAAACCATATTCAAATATTGTGAGAATTTGCAACTCCGTTACCTCCGGTGACATTGTTCTTGCTGTTCTCTAACGCATGAAGGCTCTCTGTTGAACACGATGGCATCTATTCTCCCCAGCCCGTCAGTTACTCTGAGTTAAGTATTTAGGGAAATGTGTTCATGAGAGCACCATTTAGTTCTTAATTACATCTCTCTGTGTTAATCACTATAGACGTGCCATCGTGCAAGGAAAGTTCACTATTGCTTATGGACTAAACACAGGACCATACTCTCTCCCCGAATCACTAACTCAGGACACAAGACCTCTGTTGCTCTTTTGGACACAGAAGACTCAGACCATGAAGGGAAGGGCAGGGTGTCAAAGATCTTTGAGATGTCATGCAGTGAGCAATCTACTGCCCAAACTCTGTATTCCTGCTATTGTTTTTTTTTAAACATTAATAACCATTTATAATAAATATTTTTTTAGAATAGGGTAGATGGCTAAGTATATTATTTTTAATAGAAAAATATTACATGCTCGTTGTAAAACATTCAGGAAATATGAAAGAATATATTTTTATTATTTTTTTATTAAAAGATTTTGTCTATTTATTTTAGAGAGAGAGAGGAGGAGGAACAGAGGGAGAGGGACAGGCAGACTCCCTGCTGAGCATGGAGCCCGACGTGGAGCCCAACATGGGCTCGTAGGGCCAGATCCCACAACGCTGAGATCATGACCTGAGCTGAAATCAAGAGTCAGAGGCACTACCTACTCAGCCATGCAGGCGCCCCAGGAATATATTTTTAAAAAATCATAATCCCAGCCTCACTCCCCAGCCCTGGGCATCTAGCAATCTACTTTCTGTCTTTATAGGTTTTCCTGTTCTGGAGGTTTATATGAATGGTATTATATAATATGTGTTCTTTGGTTTCTTTTCTTTTTTTTAAGATTTTATTTATTTATTTGAGAGAGAGAGAGAAAGTATGAGTAGGGTGAGAGGCAGAGGGAGAAGCTGACTCTCCAGTGAGCAGGGAGCCTGATGCGGGGCTCCATCCTGGAACTCCAGGATCGTGACCTGAGCCGAAGGCAGATGCTTAACCGACTGAGCCCCCCAGGTGTCCCTGGTTTCTTTCACTTAGCATAATATTTCAAGGTTCACCTATGTTGTATCATGTGCCAATAGTTTACTTTTTATGGCTGAATAATTTCCCATTATATGGAAATGCACATTTTATTACCCATTCACCAACTGATGGATAATTGCATCGTTTTCACTTTGGGGTCCGGATGAACAATGCTTCTGTGAACATTGGTGTATGTGTCTCCGTGGGGGCATGTTTTGCTTCTCCCGGGTGGGGCTGCTGGGCATGCAGGTGCTGTGTCATGCAGTAACTCTGTCTTCAATTGTTAGTGGACCTGCTAGACTCTTCTCTAAAGCTGCCCACTGCACATTCCCACCAGAAGGGAATGAGGGTTCTGATTTCTGCACATCCTTGTCAACACCTGTTACTCCTGAACTTATGATTCTCACGATCCTGGTGGGCATGAGGAGGTCAGGTCACGATTCCGGTAGTGAGATGGTATTCTTGTAGGCTGAGGAGCATCTTGACTCCCTTGCTAAGACTTTATTGGCCAGTGTCATCCCAAGGAGAGTGAGGGAAAGAGGCGAGTAGGCGGCAAAGAAGGAAAAGCAAATCCAAGGTAGTGCGCTACTGAGCCGGCTGCAGCCACGGGCGAGGCATGTCCAGCGCCTGGTCACACAAGATGTCTTCCACTTTGCAGATACAACAGTCCTTTGGGGGAAAAGATGTGTATCGGTCAGCTCTCTGTTCCTGTCTCCGGTGCGTCCAGGTTTGCCCCACAGTTGTTAATCCCTCTGCACTCCTTGTTCTATACTCAGCCCCTCCGTGCGGCTGCAGGCGGATCCCACACAGCCAGGGGCGGCGTAGCCTCAGAATCTTCCGGCGCCACAAGGAAGAGCCCAGACTGCTTCTGTAGGTCTGGTTAGGGCAGATTTTAGGGGAGTACAAGAGACATCATTAGCCAAGAGACAGCAGGGGCCAAGGGCTGTCCCCAAAGGTGCCACTTTGGCATACCGATTATTTAAAATAAAAGTTACTAAAGAGACAGCCTGTGCAGAAGGACACTCAGACCCTCCTCTGTCCCCTAAAAGCAGGAAACAAATCTCTGACGTGAAAGTTCCCTCCCTTTCCCAGGAGTTAAAGAGACATCCTGATGACCAGAGATGGGAGATTTCCGGTGGAGAAGGCTACATAAACAACCTTTGTTACTTTTTACTCATTCACTCCTCCCGCCCCAATTCTGTTTAGAATTCCTTACTAACTGAAGCTCCCAGAGCTAAGTCTTCTTTCTCCTGTCAATTCCTCACAGATGTATTGTCTCTTTGTCTAAAAAAGTATAAAAACTGCCTGCCTTGGTCAGGTCTTTAGGTCTCAATTTCATTATTGGGCCACTGTGAGCATGTAATAGACCTTCGGTTTCCTCTCCTGTTAATTGTCTCCCATAAATTTAATTCTTCGTCCATCAAAGAGACCTTGAAGGATAAAGAAGAATTTGTCCTACCCTTCCAGGCCAACCCTTAGATGTGGAAGGTTGTTGGGGAATCCATCACAGAGACCATTGCAAATGGCGGCCGAAGCCCTTCGAGGATGGGCCAAGGCAGAGTGTGTGGGATGGGAAGTCAGTGAGCCTCCGACAGCCCTGGGAATAGAGAGGGGGAAGAGAGGCTGCAAAGCGCAGGATGGAAGGCCAGGAGGGATAGGAAAGTAAAGGAGGCAAGAAGTCCCGGTAAGTCTGTTCCGGGAAGG